AGCAATTTTGTTTTTCCACTGTCGATATACAAAATATGTCGTTTCCAAAGACTTCTTAAATCTTTACGAATGTGGCGAAAATTAGAACTAACGCCGGCAAGTTCCAATTTTCGCCACATTCATAAAGACCCATGTCGAACTGTGGGCTGATGATGCTGACTTACTTATTGTCCTTGTCGGGTGTGTCTTTGGCGGTGGTGTCGTTGGTGTCCACATCAGCTTCTGGTGCCGGGGGCTCGTCGGCAGATCCTTCGCGTTTTGGCTCTCCTGCAAACGAAAATGTACTTTTAGACAACACAGTTCGACCTATAATCGCATGCGATTCAAAGTAGATATAAGTATAGATTCTGGCATGATTCTCTATACTTAAAACTAAATTTAACATCAATCTCTCCTTTTCATTCTGTATAGAGAACGACAAAGATAAACTGTTGTCAAATTTAAATTTTAGAATCATGATAGAATCAACATCATATTCATAATATTACCACATTTAGATCAATCGCACGCAATTTAATTAGATTTGTTGAAGTAAATTCGAAAGAGTTTATAAAATGACATGATAGAGATAAGGTATAAAAGCAATTTAACATACATGTGCTAGTAAATTCGAAATAATATGCAAACAGCATTTAAAGCCTGAAATAAAAAAACATAGTTGAGAACCTCCTCTTTTTTAAAATCGGTTGAAAAAACAATTAGAAAAAACTCCATCACCTGAAAATCACAACAACGGAACCGGAGCAATATATGGAAACGATGAATAGGAAATTTTATCACAAAACATTTTCTATAATGTCAACAAAATAACAAAGGTAACAAATTTTTTGCGCAGATATGCTGAAATTCAAAACCTTACCAATCAAAAACTGGGATGAGATCCCAATGCCTATAGTTGTAATATTGACCAAACAAATACCAACTACGATTTCATATAAAAATGAGAAAAATACTTTAAAAAAAAACTATTAACCTGTCCTACTTCATAAAAGACCGTAGATTTTAAAAAACCATATTAGGCCTACATATTTCTATACTTTGGTGACACACTTACAAAAATGCTCCATATTTTTTTAAGATATTTTTAAGATTTTTATCACTTGTGTTGTGCGTTTTGGAATTTCTGTTAGCTCACAAGAAAATTATGAATAAATAAATAATACATTCTGTGATTAAGAATGAGCGGTATTAGTCCAGGATTTCCACGCATCATAATGATGCATTATATATTCAGATATAAAAATCTAGATTTTGGCATTCTACTAGTATTTTAATAAGATGGTAAGGATAACACGGGCACATATCGTCTGATGGCATGGGACCTACACAGATATCTGCAACACAACACCTAAGTTGATAAAAACAAAAATATATTTGTTTCTCAGGTTTTCACGCACATCACTCATTCAAAACAAATTTTTTACGGGTTAATGCACGAAACTTTATTTATTTATTGAAGTTTCGCAGCCTTTACAGGCTGCGTCGTCAGAATCAATTTTTTATTGTCAATAAATAAATAAAGTTTCGTGCATTAACCCGTAAAAAACTAAAACAAAAATACCTATAATTTGTATAAGTAATAATGATACAATAACATGAGTTAGAATTTATCCTCATCTTGGTGGTTTTCAATGCCACGAAGATAAGCACATTAGCACAGTATACTACTGGCCGTGTGACGGAAACACACACGTCCTGTGCCCGCTATCGACAATAAATTGAACGCTAATAAACGGGATGATTCATAATCATATTAAGAGCAATGAATAATAATGCACGAACTAGTAGTCGAAAGGGATGCCAGCAATTATACTTCAGTATTACTTCTCGATGTTAGTATTATTTACACTTGTGATACCGCAGCCATGCGTTATTGACTTCTTCGGACTAATACCTTATTTAATTATGATATAACTTCATATACAAGTAAGTTCTTTTAATCATAAATTACGCCTGTTTGTTCAGAATTAGAAACGATATTGGTGTTACCAATATTACTCAAAACTAGTACGATTAAATCCTTACAGCTGTTTACGACTTCGCTACGTTAGCAGCTATCAGGATTACACCAAAGATTTCAATGTAGTTTAGTTTTAAGTCCTATGGTCGACCCTTCGCACTGTTAAGGCGTATAGTAAGTACGGTAAAGAGATATAGACAAATAAAATTGGTAATTGCACGTGTCATTTTAAGAATAGCAAAAAGAAAACTAAAAGAGACGTGGAAGATTAAAATGAATAGACTTTAGAAAAGGACGGCAGCAAATTGTCTCTTAACAATTTTGATTGGCAAATTTATAATAACAAGGACATACATGATAAATATTATAATTATTTACAAGCATTACGATAAATCCACGTTCCAAAAACAAGTTATTACATATGTATTTATTTACATGTTCCTCGTTGAGGTACTATTCTGATGTCACTCATAAATTCGTAACGTGAACAAACTTGATGAGAAAAACCTGCAGTACTTATATTTTAAAATACAAACCATTGGAAATTAATATCTAAAACTTTTTACTGCATTGTTGATATTTGTTTTGGTTACCATTGCTAAGTTAACTCAAGAGATAATACATAATGTATATCTACAGATGACATCATCATAATTATAAAAACTTGTGTTTATACCTACAATGATAACACACCTTTTTCATGAACATATAAATATATCAGTAAGATATATCTATATAAAAACAACAACATTGAAAAAAAAAAGTAGAAAATGATGTAATATATTTGGGAGCCTTGATAATGAAAAACCAACTAAACTTAAAGTTAAACAACCTAAGGTGTCACTATAAATAACTCAAGCTCTAAACTTAAATATTGAAAGTCTCGTAAAAACCCTGGTCAGTCACCTTGAGAGTGCATTCAGCGGAACATTTACAAAAAAATAAGTTTATCTTTATTAATGACCACAAGAAACAGTCGAGGGAGATGCTAATGCACAATAATTCCAACAACAAGGTATCCTAAATAGAATATGAGCATATTAAATATTTATAAACTCGATACAGATATCGAAATCAGAATAAATAAATCTATTCATATTTAGTTTTCACAATAAATACAGACGTTCTGACCATCCAACACATCGTACAGGAGTGTCCCCTTACCAAATACGATGGTGCGATGGAGGACCTGGTCTCCCTCGATAACGACGCTGCCAATTGGCTAAGACATTTAGATTTTAAACTCTGATTCCTGTGACAAGACAATGCCATACGAATAAATAAAAAACAATAAATATCAATTTTTACAAATAACAAGCAAATAATATTGTAAGCGTCGAAATTTTAAACAGTCAACTACCTAAACTATAGAATGTTTGTGTAAATTCCACTTTCCATTAGTCTGATTCTCTAATTTAATAATAATATAAGAAACACTGAGGTTTTCATGTATTTCTAACCATTTAAACAGTGTATCGTGGCAACAGTTCTCGCAAACGACCACAATTAGCGATGATCTCACTTCGACTTCTATCGCAGAAGCGAACCCAAGCGTAGTCATTGCACTATTATACCATATAAGTGTTGTGTGTCGCAAATGGTGAGAATTATTGCATTTTTTGCACTTTTATGCGATTAAATATGTTTTTTAAGCACGTTAATTGTCCCTCTTTGTTTATCTTTGATTAGTAATGGAACAATAAGATTTATTTGTTCATTTGAATCAAGTGCATAATTATAAAGTTTCTTAATGACAACTTAATCAAGTCTTTGTCAATCTTAGTTCTTCCAAGAGCTTGCAGGTTCTTTATTACCAGTATATAAAGAACTGTGTATAATATTAAACATTTAATTTACAAAGTACTGCCTATATAGTGCTCATACTGATTCTCTGAAGTACATTTATAAGAACCTCACTTAAAAAAAATCTCATCCGGAACTACCAAAATTAAATTTAGTCTTTTAAATCTAACAAAATTTCAATAATTGCTCTTTTAAATTTGAACTTAAGAGCATTAACTGCAAGGTCTAGTTTAACTAGTAACATTGTTGAATCATCATCACTCAACTGCTGCGTCACGTCACCAACTGTCACTGAAGAGGTCACAATGATGGATCGGTCAATATCAATAATAGAATAGTAACAATTGGTGCTTTCTCACAGCAAAAACTTGTGTCATCTCCTTTAAGGTTAACAATTTACAATGAGATGGACCAATTCGAACAGTCAGTTTTGATATAACATCGGAAGCGATAGAAGCTTGCGATGTACACACATCCGTTAAATTTGATGCGGCTGATAAGTCTCATATCCGCATGATTGGTGCCAAATGTTTAGGACACTGAACTTTGGATAATTTGCAGTAATGACATTGAAGAAGCCACTCAAGTACGAAGTGAGTATAAACACCGATACTCACTGTCAAAATAATGAAAGACTGATTTAACAGTGACGCATGGATATCATATATATGCACTGCTTTTTTATATAAGTAATGCTTAAATTATGATTAATATTTAAGGTTAAAGAAATACTGAAAAAATACGGTTGTGTGGTATTTTCCTCATTGCGAACCATCTCTAGATGAAATTTTAGGAACACCAGATGTAACTTTCTTAGAAATTCTCTTATTATCTTACCATGAAATCAAAACTAAGGCAAGGTAATCATAATATTAGGTTGACTGAACAACTTCAAGTAAGATATCTTTACTTTTCTATAAAAGGACAAGATATGCAATGCAAGGTACTATATAGTTTAATGAACAAGCAAATACCAGTAGTTTACACAGAAAGAAATAAGCTGAATGAAACGATTTGGTCAATTCAATGAATGAAATATTCAGGTGCTAAATAAACAGCAGGATCACAGAATGAACACTAACGCATGAATGAAGGTGCGAACGAAACTGTTTATTTGTAAACTCAACTCCCACCGTTTCCTTTCTAATATATTGGAAATTGTATTAATATCGACTATGTTACCTTGAACCAACAACATCTGCTTGTAGATGCCATATATTAGAGAATTTAGTAATGTTTACTGAATACTATGCAGGAATAGATATATAACTATGTCTGAAAGAATGTGAAATATATACATGGATTTACAACTTCATTGTAAATGAATCCAGATTTACGGTAACAATGTTATAATGCAAATACAAGTTTACGAAGACATTAAATTATAAAATCAAACAAAATTCAAATGTAAGTAAGTAGTAGATTATAAAAGCGAATGTGCAAGAACCCAAGATGAACAATGTTGAGACACAAATAATTTTATGTAATCAGGACATATTGAAATGCAGTATGAATCATAATCGCAAGGACCCTAGGAGCACACACACCGCGTAGTTCAGTTTTCATTTCACTCCATAAGTCGACCCTAATGCCTGGTGAGGGCACTAGCGATGTGACGTCATCGTCACACGATTGGTTGGTGACCCGCATATCAATTGGGAGTGTGCGTGAGTCGCCTTGCAGTCCACAAACTACATCCTCGCTGGCAGTCCGATCAAAATACCAGTTTACATAATTTTATACACACATGGTTGAATTTCAATCTATTGCTAAAAAAAAGAAAGATGAAAAAGGAGAATACTCCTATGAATAATCAAATATTACTATTAAACTATTTCTTCTTCTGAAAGAAATGGCTGATTAGCTTAAGATTTGGGACAACATCCTAGTATACATTTTTTTTAAATCTTATCTTCTTTATGACATCCTACAATAAAGTTGTTTGATAATTAATTTATTTTATATGCTTATAAAGCAAAACCTGTTTTGTATCCTATTATTTTACCGGTTTTGACAGTGCTTTTGACATATACATTGCGTTGTGATTTTTTTCAAATAATTAATGAAATATTAAAAAGAATGAAAATTAATAATATCTTAGATATGATGCGTTCTTCAAAGCGCAACCAAAACGAAGTGTAAATGTAATTGAATAAGGCGATCAGTGATCAAACATTTATATCAGAAAAAATGAGGCTCGAAAAAAAAAGCTAAGAATAAATCGATACGCCTTGTACATTCAGTCATCCAAATTTTGTATACACAGTTGAGAACCAAAGCGCGACATGTTAGCAAGAAGGCTGGCACTATTTATATGCTTCCGGTGAGGCGGCGCGCGCGCATGCCAATTGTGCGGCTTAAGTAACGGATTGCTTAGCGACCAGCAAGTTTTGATGAGACAATAAGGCCCACTTGCAGTTAATTTGCTAAATCTCGACTCAATTCTAACTACATGTAATCCATAGATAAATGTCAATGTCAATTTGACATCATTGTATGCAATGAATCTAGTCTAGCCTATATGTAATGAATCAATCTAGTTTTAGTTCAATTGAGATTTAGGGAAATTCCTGAAAGTGGGCGTAAGGGTCATCATCATCATTTCAGCCGAAAGACGTCCACTGTTGGACATAGGCCTCCCCCATGGATTTCCACAACGATCGGTCCCATGCTGCCCGCATCCAGCGGCTTCCCGCGACCTTTACCAGATCGTCGGTCCACCTTGTGGAAGGGCCTGCTAACACTGCGTTTCCCGGTACGCGGTCGCCACTCGAGGACCTTTCCGCCCCAACGGCCATCGGTCCTGCGAGCAATGTGCCCTGCCCATTGCCACTTAAGATTTGCAATTCTGTGGGCTATGTCGGTGACTTTAGTTCTCTTGCGTATCTCCTCATTTCTGATTCGATCACGCAGAGAAACTCCGAGCATAGCCCTCTACATTGCCCTTTGGGTGACTTTGAGCCTTCTAACAAGACCCATTGTAAGCGGCCACGTCTCGGTTCCGTATGTCATCACTGGCAACACGCACGAATTGAAGACTTTCGTCTTGAGGCACTGCGGTAGATGTTCCGAGAAGATGCTACGTAGCTTCCCGAACGCTGCCCAGCCGCGTTGGATTCGTCGATTAACCTCTTTCTGGAAGTTGGACTTACCCAGTTGGACTATTTGTCCCAGGTATACGTACTGGTCAACAACTTCCAGTGTAGAGCTCCCAACATGCATGCTCGGCGACCTCAGTAGGGTGTCCCAACAAGTGGGTCTCAAAATGAACATGGACAAGACGAAAGTCATGTCGAATTCCCATGTCGTACCCACTCCAGTGACTGTTGGGAGCTCTACACTGGGCGTAAGGGTATATATTTTTAATTCTAGACTGGTGTCTTTCCTGATAAGATTCTCTAACTAAACTTAAAATTTAATTTCACAACAGTATATCCTTGTCATTCTCTATACAGAATGAAAAGGCGAGACTGATGATAAATTTAGTTTTCAGTTTAGAGAAACATGCCAGAATAGACATCAATATAATACTTTATAAACCTTTTGTTTTAAATTATAAATAATCCTAAGGAAATGACGTCTTCCGCAATATCAAAAACTACGCGAATAAAAAATTTTCAATGTGTCGATTATAATAAGGTAGACATGGTTTAACCAAGGATTGATATGTTTTTCTAAGAGTCGATTCATATACTAATTAACATTAAAAAGGATACAGATTTCAAAACAAAAGACACTCATTGATTTGAGAAGTCGTCACCTGCCACTTCATTATCACATTAAATTTCATAAGATCATTTCATTGTATGTGGAAATTCTCTGTATGTAGAAAGTTAAAGTTTCGACGAACAACGAAGACAAATAAATTGTCCGTTTCAATGTGAATAAACACAAACAATATAAATCACAATGATGCTACTCAAGAAAAATTTAGTATAGATAAATATTTTTCGATATCCATTGGAATTATTTTAGACGCACCCCGAACTGTCGATCACCGTTGTTTATACGCTGATGAAACGAGTCGTAAAACCGTCGGTTTGTCCTCATGACCGACATACTGATGGACAAGCCGACATTTTTGTGCAGACGCCTGTGGTGGCCCGAATGTCAACCTAGTTTCAATCGCCAATTACTTATTTATGACGATAGTTTTGACATAAGATAGGTTTAAGTTTTCATCAAGAAGCGGTACCCGAAAACAAAACTTTGTCTTCGTTTTGGCTTGGCATATGAGAAATCAATTATAGTACCATCATTATTCATAATTATTATTAAAAATATAGAATATAAATGAATTAAAAACACAGTAAATGATTGCATTAAAAAGCAATGATGCCGCAAAGTAGGTAACAGAGCAAATTAATCAAACAGGATATTCCCTAAAAAATTCTTCATAATGTTCCGTTTTCGGAAAAACTGCAGAAAGATTATAGAAAACATTTTTGAACAAAAAAATACTTTGGACTCAAGTAAATAATGTGAAGTACTAAAATCAACATAGAATCCAATAGGGCAAATCAAACACTCTGAAAAGATTTATGATAACTTCACAAAACTAACGACACATATATTTTCCCACAAGTTTGGTTCCAATTCAAGTTTTTTAACTTAATCATAAATTTGTGATCAATTAAACAATACTAATTGAATATAGCCACAATTAAACAAAAATATAAAGTTCATGAATAAAATAATTGCGTAGAAACCTAGAAACCATCTCAAGATAAGGCATTTAAATTCCATTAATATGTTATTGACATACATATGCAAGAGCCGAGCAAAAAATAACCTTGAATAATTCAATAACAGAGGACAGGATTAAAATACAAATGTTCATAAATGATTTATAGAAGCACAATCCGATCTCTCGACTATCGGTTACAAATGAATCGTAGAAAGATCAATGATAAAGTTGGCACATGAAATATTAATTTCATTCAAGGACGTGCAATGATTCAATCAAAATATGAACCGTCTAGAAGGTAAAGTTATGAAAAATTTTAAAAAACCTAATTAACTCGTAGCGTTAGTTTTAAAGGTTGCAATTTTCATAAAAAATAATAATAATATTCTGATAAGAATGAGAATGTCTGTTTTTTAACTATTTAAAATTCACATAATTGATGTAACTAATAAAAATCCTCTTCATTCAAATTGTTTTCATTTTTTTATGATTGGTACATACATATCATCCATTATAAATAAGTATATTTACATTTGAGTATGTTAGAGATTAACTGATGATTTCATACTGATCTACGCAGGTTAAATTTAATAGAATTCGATAAGAAGCTTATTTTTTTTAAGTTCCAGAAACTAAAATGTAATATCAAATATACATATCTTACCTTTAGACCCGCTGAATAGCCATGAGTTGTGTTTGATGGAATCAGAATATTTTTTCTTAACAATTGGTGTTTGTTCGACTATGCTAGACTGTCTGCTCCTACCAACTGAAGGTGTTTTCATATTTTTCTTTTTCGCTTTCTTTAAAGTGCCACTATGCGACTTCCGAAGTGTGTTCACTTTGACGGACTGACTTTTACCCCTAACTTTACTTTTACTTCTAGACGTCTGTCTACTTAACCTTCTCCTGTGTTCTCCAATTACTTTACTTGTAGGCGGTTCATCGTCAGAGTCAGTCTCCTGGGGAGGTTTCATGTCATAAATAGACGAATGACGTTTCTCACCGTCTAAGAATAATTTAGTGTAATTTAAAATTTCTTCTGTGCTTATCACATTGTCTATAACGTCTTCAGAAACGCTTTCTACTGGTTTCATTGAAGTTGGTGTCTTCTTTCTTCTGAACAGATTGAGTGCGCTCACTGAAGATCCTTTGCTAGACTTTCTTGTTTTGGGAGCATCATTCGTACTACTTTTCCTGCTATTAGACTGACTTTTATCTTCCTTCTTACTATTTTTTCTTATTTGATCCAACTTTATATTAGAACCGTGTATTGAATCTCTGTCTTCTTCGCTCCAAAGACTCTCTCTGGATTTTTTCTTATCAGAATTTCTTTCTGATTCTTTCTTTGTAGTTTCAAACCATTCATCACCTAAATTTTTCACTATTTCTAATGGATTCGATAAGGACATAGTTTTCCTGTGTCCTTTCTTAACTCTCAGGTCAACTTCTTCGTCAGTGATGGCTAGTTTAAGAGATTCTTTACTGAGTGTTGGTGTTTTGCCGAGTCGGGGCAAGGCATCGTCGCTGGCGGAAATAGCATCGCTGTGACAATCTGCCGACTCGTAGAGAGACTCATCACTTTCATCTCTTCGTTCTGTGCAAACAATTATTAATTTAACACAATATAATGTTACCGTAAATGAGTTTCCTTGCCATCGGTTTATTTTATAAGTACAATATTGTGACATGAATAAGGATAGTTCTTTCGAAATAAGTAAGACAATGATCAATAAAAAGCATTTGAATGATTGATCACCGGTGAAGAGCACTCAACTCTGAGTCACAGCAGTTGTTACGGTCGCAAGAACGTAGTTCATTTAATTCGTATTAGCATACAATAAAGTTAATGACATCGTCGTTGGGGTTAGTTAAACGACCGTGCGAATTTACTTTCTACCACGTACTAGGTGTTATTAGCTTGAATCAATCCACGTATCAAAATGTTTACTTAAATACTAATAAAAGATGTTTGGGAGATATATAAAACGCAATGAAGCCTTCATTATTGTATTTGATATACATAATTTAGCAATATCAATAATTTCATAATTGAAGTCTGTCCAAAGCACCGACATAACTGTGTCAGCAAGTGTTAAACTTTTGTAACCACTTTACAAAAAGGGTCACTGCTTAATTTTTTTACGATGTGGTAAACAAAACAGAAACTGGTAAACAGAACTTAATGATCCATTATCAACAAAGCTTTTGTGATATCTTTAATCTTATCACGTTTCGAAACCATGAATTGGACTGTAAATATACTTTATCTAAATTGTCTCTTGCATAAGAAATGCGTGGATGATAAAATCCTAGCGAGATGCGATAAACCGCATGATGGCTAATAAAAATCTTCGAAATAAATCTGGCGATATATTGTCTGATTGTTTGACAATTTCAAATCTCTTAGAGTTGAATAGTTTCTACTTTTTCAATTTTTGCTGCAAAAGATGCAGCCCTTATCTGATCGGGTCATTAGCACAAATAGAGCCAAACTTAAAGAAAATCTAAGTCATCAGAGGAAATACCTTACTGATGACAAAAAGAAAACGCAACGTTTAGTACAAAAAATAAACCAATCATATCAGCACACTGCAATATACTAATAACAGCACTTATAAGTGCAATATGTTGCAAATTTCTAATAGAGCAAAGGTTAACAGTGTAGATTAAATTAGCTAGTTTTTTTTTTAAATATGGAATTCTTTCCGAAGGTCATTTAGTCAAAACTGCGACGAAACGTGCAAAAATACTACTTCCTTGTTCGTGATACTATTGATAAGTTCTTTATATCTAACAACGCCTTACGCGATAAATTTTAGCCTCGATTAAAATTAGATTAAACTCTTTACAATATAAATATAAGGAAGTAAGTTTATTTCTTTAGCAATAATAAACAAACTGATTTTCCGTGACTAAATCTGGGGGTCAATCGCCTATCAGCGTTGCTATGGCTATCGCTATCTCTTACAATTCGTAAGCAATAGCGTTAGCCAAAGCAAACCCGTTCGGCGATTGGTTCCTGGTTTTTGATCAGTAGTAACAGTAAGCAAAAGTTTGCTCTGGGAACTTGTTAGAACCATGATCACTAATATTTAATTGAATTGTATTGTATTTTTTGCTTTATTATGATCCGGCTCGAAGGTCCAATATTTCCGTGACTTGATCATTTCGTTCATCGATTTATGATATATTTTTCTATATTATTGAAAAACACTTTTGACAGCCAAAAGGAAAAATCTAACATATTTCATAAAACAAAGTCATAAAGAAACATAAAGAATATACAAAATCATGTACCAAATATTGCGATATCAAAAAGAAGTGAGCATTCGCCCTCACTGATTGTTACGTGGTTGTCTTTTTTGAAACGTTTTAATCCACTAAATAAACCCATAGAAAGCCATAAGTCATACATAAAATGAACTGTTATTTTCATTACCAATGTTTAAAATGGTTTTTCCCGTATTTCGATCAAACAATCCTTTAGGTATGTTATGTTATGATAAGAACGAAAATGCGTGCTTCATAAAATTTAATTACATTATTTTATAACAAAATCTGAATATTGAAGAGAAAGTTAACTTTCGAGATTTAGATGAAAAACAATTCTTTCCGTTAAATTTCCACATTCCAAATCTCTGATAATCTATATTGTACAGAAACGGTGGCGAGACAGTTTTAGTAAGTAGGAATCTCCCTATATTCCAAAACGCGTTAAAATATTTGATCTCCTTCAACCGATCTAAATGACGGTTGAAATTATCCAGTCGGTTACAAAAGCTAATAATGAATGAACGTTCAAAACTCATGAGTATGGGAGGGAGTATGAGTCATCAGGCACGCGGCGCGGGGTACCCTACGGCAGAAATAAAAAAACAACAAAACCCAGACGTTGAGTGTAAAATAAACCTGTTTCTGTACCCGACCGTGATACACTGGCTTCGCAGAGAATTCTTCTTAAAGCATAAAGACTACATGATATTCCGGAAAATATAACGCCTAAAGCGTTAATTAAAATAAAATGGATTTTAAAAAGGATTAAATAGAATTTATCATTTCTGTACTGGACTCTTATTGATTTATAGTGGCTGATTTAGTACTCGATTCTTAACCATGTACATATTTCTTTAGTTTTATTTTGTTATTCTATTTCATTTATTAAACTAACCAACGTCTGTTTAATTTCAAGAAAATCAATATCATTACAAGGAGATTTTTTATCTATTAGACACTAAACTAACGTAGGTACATTAAAATCGGTTGCTATTTCTATAAATTTACTTCATATATCGTTTAGAACTAGCAATAATGATTTACTTGTAAACAAGCTGTTGACAGCTTTTTTTGATAATTCATGAAGCCAGGTAATATTGTACTTCTAATGTCGAATTATCGAATTAATCTCACTCTCATATCACCGGTTTTTGGTAAAGAAATTTGGCACAAATACATAACAAGAAATATTTGAACCCACCAATTTTTTAAAGCACGAACTTGCTTAAGCTGACATCATACCTTTTTACAACGATCCAGACGCCTTTTGTATGCAAAAATAAAGTGCTTGTTACTCCAATTAGAACTTTGGACTTGAAGCTGTTAAGTATAAAATCGAAGTACTGGTTTAGAGAATTTTCAATTAAGTTCGGACTTCAGAAGACGTTTGAATAGAATTCTATCATGAACGTGCAGTTACTTGAGCAAAATAAAAAGCTAAGACGAATGACAAAAAGCTTCCTCAATTTAAAAAGAAAAAAAAAATGTTCTAAATAAAAAACGGTAAAGTGATAGTTCCTATGACGTTCTAAAGTAACCTAACGATATTAACAAGTAACACGCTTCAAACATGATGCGTGTTGACTAACTTGGCGTGACGGCATAAATTTGAAGGGGGGTTATTTATGAAAAGAACTTTGGAAAGTTTTGGAGCGAGATTCATCCTTTTCTTCCTAAAGGATTTGTTATTAATTTATAAATATTAGCTGTAAGACTGCAAAACTTTTCTTTACATTTAATGACAGTTTATTCCTATTATTTCTATCAATACGATCAACTTCTAGATCTATCCGATACATTAGTGTATATTAGGTGGAATAAAGTTGTCGACAAGACCGTTTTGTCATCATTTCCTAAAAAAAGATATTAATTTCTTAGTTCCAGCATGAAAGAGTATGGTGAAAAGTTTTTATTAAAATTATTGTAGATACTTTTCTATAGAATCTGTTATTAAGGAAAACCTTTGCTTCACGCTTATCACGTTTATAGTCACATCTACTATCGATCATTTTTATTACATAACATTATCGAAATGAACGATTCCTTTCTTTTCAATATCATATAACCAGTTCGTGCAATATAATACATCAGGGTGAATTGTAATAGTTAAAAGCGACATTTGGGCCAAGGTTTTGCGTGTGGCCGGGCCAATTTCCGACGAAAGCCGTCCAAACATCAATGTTCCACGCTACGATAATGGATACGCGTATACGTTACAAACTTTACCATTCAATGCGAAACGAACAGTTAAAGCAACAAAATATTTTAGAACGAAATGTTGGCAGACTTGGCATGAGCTTAACCTATGAATATTAAACTGTCCATTATGTTAAATATGTGTGTCTGTTCTGAACAAGAAATGAATTCCTTTAACTACTTGTCATCAAATATACATTACCATATATCTGTGAGCCGCTATAATGTTTATGCATTAAGAAGATGTAGCAAAATTTTGTCTAGTTTTATATTTCTTTCTATTCGGGCTTCTATTTAATTTAAATTGCAATGTTCTGGTTATTTGTTTTTATGATGTGACAATTCCAATCGTCTTAAAATTAGGTTGAATTAATTTTAATAGGTTAAACGTTTTTCATTGAAACACGCTACGGCTGGAGGATGTAAAACTGTACTAAATGTGAAAAGCTCTAGTTTGTGCTAGAATTTATTTCAGGTGTTTGTCACAATTATTTTAAGATTTTTTGTGCTAGCCAAATTTCTCTTTTATAAAAATCGAATAAATCTGACAAAGAAACATGACCTGGAAATGATGAAACTTGACGAGGCTTTCTAAATGCTCGTACATTAGATTCGTTTGCCTCTACCGTAAGTCGTGGACGGTGTATGTGGACCATTCTAAAGCAATTATCTAATACCAACGGTCATTGTCATTCGTGTGCCGCAACTTCCGTGGCTTATTATTTATTACTCGCGCAGTTACCTGAAGCTCGCGCGCATACTGCGCATTAGCACTGCCCATTCGTTGTGAATTACCGTCTGCAATAAAGCGCAAATAGGCTGTTACTACTTTATAGTTTTCAATAATTGCTCTGTCAAGATGCAAACATACAAATGCTTTTTTTTAACATTGTTTGATGTTAGAATATTGTACTGAAATCAAAGTGTGGAAAATATAATAGAAACAGTACATCATCATTAGGTAAAAGCAAACATTTTGTCAAAGTTTTCACTGTATGTATTTAAAAATATGTATTTAAGTATATCAAATATTAAACACATGAGTAATCATATTTTTAAGTACCTGACACAGTTATGAATTCTGTTTGATGATAAACAATTGGACTTTGTTACTAAGAAGAAATATTATTTTATTTTTAGAATTTAAAATACTATCGATTTTCACATTTAAATGGATCCTTTGTAGATATCAAATGTTTTCTTGCTTTATTTATAAGATTATGCCTACTATACAAGACAGCTATATTAATTATATTCATGACCTGATTCCCTAAATACTTAACCATTGGCAAGGAAACTCCTGAAAACAAAACAAGCTCGTATACCATACCTAAGGACACTTTCATATCGAGTATGTCCGAGTACCGTCTCCTCTCCTTGTCGCTCTCCGTGGAAGTCTCCCTCTCGCTCGACTCCCTCGTCGGCTTCAGGAGGACCGCCTTCTTCCTCCTCAGCTTTCCGACGACTCCATTCTCTACCACCTTGTCCGATACCGGCTTCGGTTCTCGCTTGAACCACATCATCCCGACCATCGGTTACAGTTGCCTTTGCCACCGATAAAGTAACATCGATATCGCAATCGTGAGCCACTTCACTAAACACTTCTTTAACACTTTTATATATATTCCCACTAAGCTGTATGCACGTCACTTATCCAAATATAAAAGCTATTGTAGTTTTTGCACTTCTATTGTATAATTTTGGACGGTTGAGTCACATAGCGCACCTTTTTTTGTCGACTCGTATTTTGGCACGTGTATCTACAAAATCGGGATTCGATCAGATCAGTGGCGATCTTGGCAATGGTTTTCAGGACTTAAGGTGTGTTTGGAATAAAAACACATCAAATTAATTTATGTGGAAAATTTTAATTTTAAATCATCAGATATTTAGAGCATTATAAATATGTATATGCTGATAGTATTATCAAAATAAATTCCTGCAGAAAGATGAACGTTGATAATTTGGAAACTCAGCCTTAATCATCAGTAAATGTTAGCCAACAACCGCTTCTGCCTGTCTGATAGATAACAATAAACACGAATAAAATTATATTGTTCATATAAATTTAGCTGAGGAAACGAGCACTCCGATGCACCGCACCGTCCCAAGAGCTATATTTAAAACTGTGACTGTGTTTAAAGTGTGTAGTGTAATAATAAAAGTGTACGTAGATGCGTCCGCGCTCTCGACCGATTAGGACTGTTCAATGCTGAAGGTCAGTGCCGATGCCGGCCGGTGCGATAACAAACAACTCGGATGATTTAATACGTATTTTTATATGTGAACAGGCCTTTGCAAGACGTATACTTTTTCCTATTATTGTTTCCAACTTTGTGTCGCGCTATATCAAAACCCAATTAGGTTTGGATTTATAAAAAAAATATTTCTGAGCATTTCACTGCTAAATATAAAAAAAATAGGATAGGGTTTTGAAAATACAAAGAAATACGTTATAAGTGTATATAGTGATTAGGAGCAGGTTCTATTTGGTAAGATGAAACTGATTTACTTATTCAATCAAATTTATCGATGGTGATGTTTCATTGCATTTCCTAAGAGTTAATTTATAATTGATATGAAAATCATGATCATAAATGTTTTTATGTTTTCTATTGCGCAATCAGCAATGCCCTCGACATCTTTTCTTTTATCTTATTTCAATTTAATAACACTCTTTTCTGACTCAATATTTTCGATTACTATAGTTTATTTTACGGAAATGATACAGATAATAGCTATGATGGTATATCTATTTATATCCTTGTCATGCCTTTGAACAGTTTTTTCTATAAATTTAAATATCAAAGAGACATAGAGGTTTTTCATGAAGAAAAAACAAAAAACTTTTTGTTAGCTACGAAACAAAGTAGAAGTATGTAAAATAAAATGTGTTAAACATGCCAACTTTGCACAGAGATCTAGGAAATTATTCTATGCACACACACAAAGTAATGGGCCTTTTGAATTAAAACACAAACATGTTGAAGTCAATTAATCAACTATTTATGACAAATTATTCCATGTCAACGTTGTAAAACAGCCTTCAATGATAATATAATATACACATAACATCATACGAGATCAGGAAATAATCAGACACGAGAAAATGGCAAGTGCCAAAGAGCAAGATAGACACATCGGCTTGACTAGACCATCCATCAGAGCGGACAGCTCAATGAGAAGTAGAAAACGAGCCGGTAAAGGCGAGCGGACCTAAGGTCAACATAATGTATTATAGGAAGTCAATAATGCACGGGATGAATACACCTACACACCTACACATATCGAAAACAATCAAGTTAATTCCGGCCAACTCAATCAAATTAGTCCCAAACTAAGTATAGCTTATAAGTAACCAAGGAGTTTAATGAAAAAGACAAGATCACTGTTAACCCGTGGAGCCCTGGAACCTTACTCACCGACAGTAAACACAACACTACCAAATGGTAGTGTTATTTTACTGTGGTTTTCTATAAGGTGGATGTTACTGCCCTAGACAGGAGCTTCCATTCGACTACCAAATCCGCTATACCCTGCCTCTCTTAAATTCAATTCATTCCAACATATGCATTATTAAATGGTCTACCTTTAAAATTTATGTGACTTTAAGATAGTGATATTATTCATGAAATTGTATGTAAGTATCAGAAAAAGCTTTGTTAAAAAAAGTCATTCCAGAAAGTTATTACATTTTTTTTTCTTTTGAAATCCCATTCTTTAGTTATAATTAATTTTCAAGAACCTGATAAAGACAAAGCATATTTATACTAACACCATACGATTTTATCGTAATTTTTCTATCTAGTCCTTAAAGCGGATAATAATCAGTCTACCAATCCACATCAAACAGTTGTGGGCGGAGCGGAAACGGCACAAGGGTTTGGCCTCCGCACTTCCGTAAGCGACGTGTGTCCTTAACACGTAAAGCCACGTGCCTAACGATTATCCTGCCTAGTGTATTTACAATGTAGTAAAAATAAAAATATATATATTCAACGGCCATGGAGGAATAAAATATCACGAGGAATTTAAACTAAATGATGGGTGGACGTGATTAAAGGACACGCAGGCCATAACTGGAAGACCAAGCCCAAAACTGAGCTCTGTGAAAAAATGGGACACAAGGAGGCTGATGATGATAAATATAATGATACTTTAAAGAACAAATTTAAGTAGTCAAATAAGTTAAAGACCAAGGAATATTAATTATTTATAAAGTTTGAGAATATCAAATGTAACGGTATTCTTAGGATAGAACACTTTATCGTAAATGATCATCATATAAGAACCTAATGAAGTCGGTACAAACACTAAAACCATATACTATAACGATAAAGCTACAAAAGTAGTAATACTCATCATAAAAATGTGCGTAATTAGAAACATGAAAATGATAATGTTCAACATTAACAACGTAATAGTAGCCCAACGTGGGTGTGTTGTAACAACAACAAACATTAAGCTTCGCATAGCATAGGAAAGGGGTGCAGTAATATTAAGCTAGCGTGACGGTTAAATATTTAACTTATTCATACCCTAGGAATATTGTTGTTTATGAATATTTTAACTCATAAACAATTTCTAAAGAATGACGTCAAGAACAACATCTTTTAACAAATAGAACACATTCGAGTACTATTAAAAAAAACTATTTGGAAATTTCAAATCTCTTACAAAACCCGAAATTTGACAAGACGTTCACAACCAGAACCACAACAAAAATTCTTAGTTGAAATAAATTACTCGATTTTCACACAACCTGTATAAAACGGACAAATACGGCTAATATTCTTAGGCACTCGTCGTTAAAAATAATCTAATGCTTTCCACCCTACCCCAGGCGGCGAGTCATCCAGACAGACCATAAAAAAACACTACAATTACACTTACGTGCACAACAGCGGAGCTTAGTTTAGCGAGGGTTACAAGAGTGAGAGTCATCAATTTTCTGAAAATATTGCAGGCTTTAAGTTTATAATAAAGATAATGCAAATTTACGGTCAGATTCACATATATAAATGTGAAATACTGCATAAGTCTATTACTACAGAAATTGCAATAGATTGAACGGTTGCAAATACTCAGGGGGGTTGTTCCATATTCATGGGTACTAATGATTAAACGGCTAATATAGATTAAATACACTGCTAAAGTTATAAAAGTAAGATTGAAATAAGCGTTGTAACCGAGCTGGAGCTTAAGATTCTATAAAATTTACTACAAAAAGTGACGATCGATCGATATAAAGCTTCAGTAATTTTAAACGTTTAGGGTGTTCCCCAAGCGGGTTGATGCAAAAAACAACATAATAGCGTTCTAACAAACGGTGATTAACATGCAAACTCACCGTATAATGATTTTCTTAAACAAGATTATTGCAAGGAAAGTTTGTATATCAAATATTAAAATTATGAGAAGTCGATAGAAGTCCATAGAATAATACGGATAGAGTTTGATATGCAATGAACAAGGATATTTTGACATCTAGGGATTTCCAGTACCTTAAAAAAAAGCTTGAATAAGAAGCAACTGTCATGAATCGGAACGGCACTGACATTTACATCATTAATTGCTAATCCTTGTTAAAAATCCATTTACAATGTAGGTAACATGACGACTAAGTACAACATAATCTACCAGTATAGATATCCAAAACCACAACTACAGAAAAAACTGTTAAAAGTACGGAGCTAATTGCCTTTAAATCACCGATTGAGTTCTAAAACTACTCACGGATTTTGGCAAAACAAGTTTAAGACATAAGAGGATAAAAAAACAAGGAAATAACCTAAAGAGGTCATACTCAATTACTAAATGAAAACGCATACTTACAATACACAATTTTCGTTTTAAAAGTAACAATTAGTATGTCCTTAAGTGTCAGACGATGAATCAGTGAGCCGAAAGCTTGAACCGTGAAATTTATACACGGTACAAAAACCGATGGGAATTCCACGAATGTTTCGTCGTCAATTTAAGATATTTCGATCACATCCGATTTAAACAATCATCGTATAATAATTTAAAAGCGTTTTTCTCCGTATTTCACTTGCATAACCAAATAACACGTGCTCAGCAGCATATACGAATCTGACCAAAATTAAGTCCAAATTCATTATAATTATTTTTTAATGTAACCAAAGGGTAATTCTCCTTCCTGTTTCATATTTCAAGTTAAGAATGACCTCAAATAAGTCTTCTAATGAAAGGTAGAAGCATAAAAGGATACAGGAAATAGCTCTCACGAACAACCAAACATTTTTCAGACACTCAAAACAAACACGAGGAAACTGAACAAAACATCATCACATCAGCTTCAGAAAACAAACAAATAGTTAGGAGACACTACAAAACTGGAAAGTTCAAAAAACCATCCCTCTCTGTTACTAAATTAACTGCGGAAGTGTATCCTGCTTCGCTCGTGTTTCCCTTTCCATTAGACTCGGAGGTGGTGATAAATATAGGCGCCGCTACGGCATACTTTCCTCAGTTTGGGATTATAAGTTTGAAATACTGTGGA